ATTCCCTAAAAAGCGCCTTCACCATAATTTTTTATGGATTCTATAATAATTTTCTGTCACCCAGTAATTGAAGTATTTTCTTATTTTTTGGTTTGTTTACTTTCCAGATGACTATATAAAATTGATAACCATGCAAACTAGTAAGTGCACTGAATCTATCAGAAATTTTTTTGAACTCCTGAAAGGTAGAAAGGAGACAGAATAAATCACACAGAGAAAAAAAAGTGCAGGGTAAACTGGAGCTGAGTTAGCAGTGCTTCTGAAGGAGCTTCGGGAGGGAACAGTGAGGAGGTCATGAAGCTGATCAGTTGGAGAACTGCACTGAGAGCAGCTTGGCAGCGGGCTCTTTCCCTCACACACTTACGCTCCACTGCAGACAGCACTGACATGGCCCACCAGGTAAACAGCATATGGAGAAGGGGTGTCTGGTCTCAGAGAAACAGCACAGTGAGCCAGGTGCCTACTGACTGAAGGAGAACAAGAGGCTACCCCACACCCAGAAGACTGTCTCCTGCGTACCCCACTTGGCAGCATGCCCAAGGAAACCGGAGAAAATAACCGAGAATCACCAAACACTTAAGAAAGAAAATCAGGGAGATAAAAGTTAATATGGAAAGAAAAAATATGGTTAAAACAGTAAATAGAAAACATTAATGTCTGTATAATTACCATCAGTGAAGAGATCAGAAAGAATACATCATTTATAAAGTCAAATATTGCCACAAAAAAGTCAGTCAGCATTTTTGGTAATTAAACAAATTCGACACTTGTGCCAAATAAGCAGAATCGAAACTTATGAAATAATTTAGTGAGCAGGATGATCTAGCTAAAAGTTTCTCCCAGGAGGCAATGAGAAAGGCCAATGAGAGAAGTACAAGAAAAACAAGTGATATAGAGAACAGATCTCAAATTTCTAAAATCTACTTGATTCATAGCCCAGAAATGGAGAAAAGAGACAATATAGGGGAAGAAATATGAAAGGAAAATAGAAATTTCCCTGAACTTAAGTGAGACATAATATTTTGAGATTAAATCGACCAACCAAAGCCATACAAGATTAAAAACAAAGACAGTGAAATATCTTATGACAGGAAGGGGTGAAGAGAAGAAAAGTAAATAAATGGAACAGACACAATTCAAAGTCAAGAAAATAAATAGAAAACATAGTTAGAAAGTAAATTATATAGCAAGAACATGTGCAAATATGCTAGTAACCACAATAAATGAGAATATATTAAATTTGCCTATTAAAAGAGTATGAAAAAGAAAAATCAGCCATTTTCATCACTAGAAAACCAATTTAAGCCAAGTGACAGAGAGAGGTTAAAAGTAAGTATGGAAAAAGAAATTGCCACATAAATTCCAACAAAAAAGCTGGGGGAGAAAATATTAGAATCAGACAAGATAAACAAGAAATCAAGCTGAAAATCACTTAATGAGAAGAGAATTATACTTCATATTGATAAAAATCTGTACTGAAAGGCAGGCTTCCCATATGTCTCACTGGTTGACACTACTTCTCATATCCATGGTTGAACCAACCACAGGCAAGGAGAATGGAACTCCCATGACGAGTTAGACCATTTGGGATTGGCTCTCCAGCACTGGGGTGTGTGTCTGCCTTCTCCAAAACACAGGCCATGCTAATCAGGATGGATACCTAAACTAAAAAGTGGGTTTTAGGAGAGACGTAAGCAATCAACAATAATTGGATACACCATTCTGAAGTTATCACAACGCACAAGTTATTTCTTTTTGCAGCATTAATTACTGCAAAGTGGTTACTCACTGTAAAATAAAAAGTGCAATGTTTTATTTCTTTGTGTCCTTTTAATTGTCTATCTCCTCCACTAAAAAGAAAACTTCAGAAGGGCAGGGACCCTGTCTATCCTGTTCTTAATTGAAGCCCCATCACCTCGAACAAAGATTAGCAAGTAATAGGACCTCAGTACATGTTTGTTGATAGAATGAATGAATAGATGAATGAAGGAAGATATACTGGGGGGATAGTTTACTCTGAGATAGATCAACCCAAATAATACAGTAAGAAAAGAAGAGCCCGGCGCTGGCCCAGGGACATAGAGGTTAAGTTCGTGTGCTCCACTTAGGCAGCCCAGGGTTTGCTGGTTCAGATCCTAGGCGTGGACCTACACACAGCTCATCAAGCCATGCTGTGATGGCGTCCCATATAGAAGAACTACAACTAGGATATACAAATATGCACTGGGGGGGGGGGGGAAAGAGGAAGATTGGCAACAGATGTTAGCTCACAGCCAATCTTCCTCACCAAAAAAAAAAAAAAAAGAGAGAGAGAGAGAGAGCACGCCAAAAAAGGAGAGCTTTAAATAATGTTAGAGAGTTACAAGGACATAGGGATTGCAAAAAACCCACTGAATTGAATATTCAGAAAGGATTTTACCTTGAGAGAGTGGTTTCATTCAGAGCATTTGTGAATATAAACCAGAACATAAGGAATTAGGATTAAATGGGTAATAAAGATGTAATTACAGTAAGACTTTAAAAAAAATACAAAGGTAATTTGCTAGAAGCAGAAAAGGTGCTATCTCTGCAGACAGCAGAATCAAGGAAAGGGTTAGTTGGCCTATTTTAAAATGGCAAGAGTGAGCATATTTGTTGACAAAAGAAGTAGTCAATGGAAAAGAATACACTGAAGGTATAGGAGAAAAATAGAATTATAAACAAATTTTTAGAAGGAGCGAGAATTGAATCAAATATAAAATATTGAGAGATTAACCTTAGGAAGAACCTACTGTCCCCAGAGATCAGAATGATGGAAGAATGTGGAAGTCAGAGACATACAGAGAGAAACAAACGTGCTGTCATCTCAATTTAACCTAGATGATCTACTTGGGAATTACTCCAAGGTAGGTATTCAATGAATATTTGTTGATGAATGGAATGAACAAACACATAAACAGATGCAATGATACAAATGTATTTTTTTTCTGGATCTTCTCACCATAAGATGATCCTTCTTGTTTTCTTAAACTAAATTTTTGAAGTGATAAGGAATGACAGACTCTACCAATCAGGGACAGCCTTCAGTGGACATTTTCCAACAACACATTGAACAAAAAGAGAGAGAAGCTAAAACAAGGTAGAACAGATGGGTAAGTATCCTTATGTATTCCACTGTTACTGAAATCCCTAAGGATGGAATTTTCTCCACGCTAAAGTTATTCCTTTTACTGAAAGCTAGAGTAAGTAAAGGGAAATAATGTTTGTAAAAGATTATATAATAAAAATATGTCCAGTCAATAACCAGAAAATATATGTGTATCAATATTTGTCTAAACTTCAAAAGAAACACAAGATTAAGAAATAAAAAGCTTAATCTTCACTGTTTAAAATAACTGGTCAACCTGAAAATTAAATCTCAGATCTGATTTTCTAATCTGTTGAGCATTCTCTTTGTGAAATGTTCTACTTTTAATGGCTTCCACATTCCAAATAGACACACCAAACCTTACAAAACACTATTTAAAATTCATTAGAAGTGATTTTAAAATAAATCATATCTACGCTGACTTACACATTCTCCTCTGTATGAAAGTAGCTCAGGACTTGGTATTAAGTTAAAAGATCACAGAAACAGATTCTCACTTTCATGTCATTTGGCAGACATTACCGAAAATACAACATGAGTATACACTAGATTTAGCTTCTACTTGCTAATTACCATTGTGAATTTCAATCTCATGAGGCTTTTGTCACAAGAAAAACATATTTGTTTTTAAAAAAACCAAGAGGATAAAAATGTTTCATGGTTTCTTCATGGCTTATGTGGTAGCTTAATAACTAAATTTACAACTTATACTATTTCTTTCAGAGATTTAATTACTATCTACAATGCACAAAACAGTTCAGTGACACAGTCATTTATACCAAATGCTGGGTGAAACTATGAACGAGTAAGGTGTTGACTACTGCCGGGAGGAGGGTAGTACTCAAAAGTTCAAATTATAGCAACAACAACTAGTACATATAGTCCATTTCACAACGTGATTTTTACATGAAATTGCCGCAATAAATCACCTTGTGCAGCAATGACATAAGGAAAAAACCAAACTAAACCAAATCAAGGAAATCCAAATGGGACTTAGAGTTCAAGTTAATTGCATAATTGAAGAAATAGATTTGAGAGATATTAGAAATAACAGGATCTATCAACCACCAACACGGCAAGAAGAAAAGTTGGAAAACAGGAATGATGGGGAAGATAATGGCCTCCAACTAGTTGAATAATTTATTTTGCTTTTTCTAAGGATCTGGAACGAAGTGGCACCTTGGAGCTAACTACTGATCTTCATCATTCTCATGCCATGCTGAGGAGTTTCTGGCCCTATTTGAGCCTATGTATTAAAGGCAAGTATGACCATCAAGTCACAACACTGAATGTTTTCAGTTACTGTACCAGAAATTTCCTATTGTACTAAGGACTACCCTGTAAGCACTTTTCTTAGGAGGCTCTGTATTCATTTCACTGATTTGTTTTGCTTAAAACATTTGGAACGCCTCACACATTTGTATAAATCTGTAGTGTATCTCTACATTTTATTATATGTGTATTTTTAGGTGACTGTTTAAGCCAGTTTCATAACTTTGCCTACCTTGTTGTGCATTATAGTATTCTCTGGACACTATTTGTAATTTCATATATCTTTGGTTTAAAAAACAGCGGTGATTGGTTATGTTTTATTTTGTAATCAGAAGTTCACGTGTTCCATCATCTTCTCCACAAACTTTGGCAGACACACTACAGCCCCTATAAAGCCCAACGCCATGAGAGTTTTGACCAGAAGGAGCCCCCACACCATCACGTTCTTAAAAGATACCCACATCTCACCTTTTATTTTTTAATGCTTAGGTTATTTTTTCAGGATTTTCATGTATATAAATATTTCTATTCAGAAACCCTTCAAAATTACCTAGTACCACAAGCAAAACATTAGCAATGACTAATAGGATCTTGTGAATACCTTCTGATGTTGTTCCTCCTTCATCTTTTGCAATTTTTTATTTTCTTCTTCCTTTAGAGAATCCCTATAAGCCCGGCTTCTGGCCTGAAAGGTAGAGGGAAAAAAAATCGTAGGAAAAAGCATCACCACAATATACATACTGCCTGCCTACCATGGGACTGGTTCTAAGAACTCAGCCTCCGTACTAAGCATACAGTAAGCTCTCCACGCACACTTGCTTATTGAGTGATTTATGCATATGTCTGAAGATGTCCCTTGGGATATATCAGAAGACTAGCATAAGCACAATCATCCAGCACATTTTAAAGGATGATCTAAATGTTTAATTAAGCTTTAAAAATATCCCCTTGGAGATAATCAACATAGTTTATTCTTTCTAGTGAGAAGGATTTCAAATAGAGGAAAGTTAAATATATTTTTCAAGAATATTCGAACTAACTTATCAGTCAATATCAGAGACAAGCAATAGCGACACTGACTTTAGAGGCACTGACACGTCTACCGCTCATTAATGGTATCCTATTAAATAGCTTGTCCACTGGTGATGGATACCATATAATTCCAGAGATGCATTTCTTTCTAAGTCTGTGCACCCCTAATCTGTACCTACAGTGTATTTCTATTTCTGAGAGGGAAGACAAAGCCCGTTCAGGAGCACAGGAGTCATCAATTCTGGCTGAATTAGGACCCCAAGGGGTAAGCCTTAGGAGAGCCAGCACACTCAGTAGGATGTCCTTCAGTCCCACCGACTCACAGTGTATGAGTTCCACACACTGGCATAGCAACCACGTATGCTGGAATTTATGAGATTTCAAGTATTCTGTCTGTTCATTTGTCATACACTTTCTCTCCCTCACACTGATTTGTAGCCCAGCCTCTGGAAGGCAGAGAGGCCAGCCTGATAAGCTAATACGTAGGAAATTCCATTGTTCTCATAAAACTATCAGCAGCATCATGGCAGCAGGCTACATATTTCAGGCCTAGTTCTTTGCACTAATAATCCATAAAGCTTATGTAGGCTGGCCCCCCGCTTTTACTAAGCTATAATTTTTCTCAAGCACCTCTTAATTCATTCCCCCATTTCTGTCACTATAAAACCCATATTCCATCAAATAATAAGCAGTACTTGTCAGAGCAGGAGAGAGCCTTTTGGAATTGTATCATCTATAGCACCACTAATTAGAACAGTGTTCAGAAAGCCCTCGTACATTGAAACCCTGCTACAGTAGACAGGCAAACACAGCCAATGACTTTCTCTTATCTATATCCCAAACACAAGGGAATTGTGATAAGACAGAAGATGGGGAGTGGTTCTCCAGTGATTCCTTCTTTTTATTGTAGAGAAGGCTAGACTTCATCACAAATATTCCATATAAGACCTGAACGAGGGGAAGGAGGTCGGGGGCCCATCTCCTACTCAAGACATTAAAAGGAGTAGTAGGCTATTTAGTTAAAGCAGACATGATGACTTGAGAGAGGAGCCTAGATTCTATCCGGATACACACCTTTCAGGCTTAACCACTTTGTTTTTCTTTTATGAAAATATGGGTCCTAGTTTTTGACTCAGAAAAAAAATGATTATTAGACACAAAGTGTCGTTTAAAGGCCACAGAAACTGGGATGTCACATGGCACCTTAACTACGAAGAGTTCAAAGTTACTAATGCTTGCTTACCCAGCTGAGATCCCTAGGCAGGACAGGAAGCTTCTGTTCAAAAATAATAGGATGGGGGGAAAAAACTTTTGATCACTACTTTTCTTAGCTCTAAATCCCCAAAATTTCTAAGTCATTGTATACACATAATTTTTCTATTGTTAAATATTAATATATTAATACTAATTTTTTGTTATTCAACTAAAATATACATTTTACTTATCCTCCCCTAAAAGTTATGCTTGTAATATATTCATTCAATAAACAATATTTAAGCCTCCTATGTGCAAGCACTGTGGTAAGACACGATCCCAGATCTCAGGTGCTTACAGCCTAGTGTGGAAGTCAGAGGAGAAGATTAACAATTACAGTGCAGAATGACAGGTATTGTGATGGAGGAAGCTAAAAAGAAGGACATTTAATTAAAATGGATCAAGGACACCTTCTCCAAGGGGGTGACATTAGCTTGTGTTTTAAAGAGTGAATAGGAATCAGACTAATGAAGGGGAAAAGCATTGTGTGAACAAATGAAAAACAGCGTTGTATGACTTTGCTAAGGCTGCCATGATAAAGTAACACAGACTGGGGGGGCTTAAGCAACAGACATTTTATAGCCTCACAGTTCTGGAGGCTGAAAGTCCAAAATCAAGGTGTGTGCAAGGCAGCTTCCTTCTGAGGGCTGTGAGGGAAGGATCTAGGCTTCTCTCCTTGGCTTGTAGATGGCTGTCTTCTCCCCACACCAATTCACATCATCTTCTCTGTATGCGTGTCTCTATGTCCAAATTTCCCCTTTTTATAAGGACGCTTTTCCTATTGGAGCCCACTCTAACGATTTCATTTTAACTTGTTTACCTCTGTAAAGACCTATCTCCAAATAAGGCTGTATTCTGAGGTACTGGAGGTTAGGATGTCAACATATGAATTTTGAGGGGACAGAATTGAACCCATGACAAGCATTAAGTTCCCATTTCAGGATGGTGGAGCAAAGATGTTTCTGCTCCCTTCTTCTCTCAAAGATTACCCTGATTTAGAGAGGAGAAAATGAAACAAACACAAATTATCTTCAAGAACCGAAAGAAATCTATATTCCCTGATGAAAATCTGTGAAGACAAAGTAGATGAAGAAATGGTAAGTGAGTAAGAGAGGAAAAGAACAAACCTAAAGACGTGCCGATGAGGGGAGAGAGGACACCTACGAGAAGCCAATTTTCTGCACAAAGCCATGTGAGGGCCCAAGAAATGGATGCACCAGCTATTGGGGAAGACAGATGGGTGATGGGAAGGGGCCCATGCCTGCTCCTACCCTGAAAATTGAGGCGCTAATTCTCCCAACCCTGGCAGGAAATCAAAAGTGCATTCTCGGGAAAAACTAAACCAGGCACGCCTAGTACAGAAGGCAGCAGTGGTCAAATCCCAGGCTGGGAATGAAAGGATCGTGTAAAATCCTGCATATTGAGCAGTCAGCCTCCGGGTCCCCTCTTTGAAGTTTTCTTCTGCTCCCTGCACTGTTTCCTCTGAGAGACGAAGGTGATATTTTATCCATGAAACAAGAACAGGTTGCTATTTTTATAAAGCAACAGAGAAGAAAGGAGCTCTTGGAAATTAAAAATATCTCCCCTCCTCCTACAGAAAGACAAACCAGTAAAATATTTAGAAGGTAAAGTCAAGAAAATACGTGTGAAGTAACAGAAAAAAAATTATAAATGTGTGCATAAGTATGGATATATGCATGTATGTATATATATGTACGTATATATATGTTTGTGTGTGTATATATATGTGTGTGTGTGTGTATATATATATATATATTTGCCCCCAGTTCCTGGCATGGAACTCCTAAAACCCTAATAATTTTTTAAGTGATAAGAACATTAGGAGCATCTCTTATTCTCATATTTGGTCTTTGACCCTGTCCCTGACACAGAGCTGCTGAAACCTTTGTAAATTCCTAAGTGATAAGAGCACTAGGAGCATTTTTTGTTCGAATGAGGTGACTCTCGGTGGGCCCCTGGGTGATCACCGGAAAGACCAAGCCATGATTAGAAGTGTAGAATTTTCAGTCCCAGCCCCTCCCCCATCCTCCAAAGGGAGGAGAGGAGCTGAAAACAGAGTTAATAATTGATCATGTCCATGTGAGGAAGCCTCTATAAAACCCCCAAAAGTACAAGAGTTGGGGGAACTTCCAGGTAAGTGAACGCATCCATATACTGGGAGGGTGGCTGACCCCCAACTCCACAGGGCTAGAAGCTCCTGAGCTCAGGACCCTCCTAGACCTTGCCCTATGTATTCTTTTCATCCATGTTCATCTGTATCCTTTATCATATCCTTTAATAAACTGGTAAATGTAAGTAAGTGCTTCCCTGAGTTCTGTGAGCCACTTTAGCAAATTATTCAAACCCAAGTTGGGAGTCACAGGAACCTCTGATTTGTAGCCGTGTCAGACAGAAGTTGAGGGTAACCTGGGGACATACTACTTACAATTGGCATCTGAAGGGGGAGGCAGTCTCATGGGATTGAACCCTTAACCTGGGGGAACTGACACTATCTCCAGGTAGGTAGTATCAGAATTGAGCTAAATTGTAGGACACCCAGCTGATGTTGCAGAATTGCTTCTTGTGGGGAAAAGACCCCACACATGTGTTGTGAGAAGTGTTGTGAGTGTGGTAGTAGTGTGAGAGTAAAGGAGACACTCAGGAAGGAAAGGACTGGGGTTTTTTCTAATTCAACATGCCAGGAAGGAGGGGGAAAAGTAGTCAAAGATAAATTAGAGGAGAAAAATATTTTTTACTAAAAAATTAGAAGATAAATCTAGGAGGCCTAGGATTTGAATAATAAGAATTCTGTAAATAGAAAACGAAGGGAAATAAATCAAAGAAATAACACAAGAGAATCATCTAGAACTAGAGATGAGCTTCCAGACTGAAAATGAATAAAAATGGCCCTCATGCTAAGACACAGCATTATGAAATTACAGAATACCAGGAAAAAAAGAGAAGATATTAAAACATCTCCAGAGAAAAGTGCTCATATAAGGACTGACATTCAGATGGTCTTGGATTTCTCAGAAACCAATACTCAGAAGAGTAATGCCTTTAAAATTCTGGAGGAAAATTATTTCCAACTTGGAATAGTTACCAGAAAATTGCAAGCTAAGTATGAGGGTTGAATAAAGATAGTTTCTGATATGCAAGGACTCAACATGCATCTTCTCTTGAGAAGCTACTAAATAATATGCTGCACCAAAACAAAAAAAATAAAGCAAAAAGAAATGAGACCCAGAAATCAGGTGACCCAACATCAGAAAGCAATAAAAGCAGTTCCCTAGATGACTTTAAAGCAGTGATTCCCTTCCTTGGCTGCACACCAGAATTACCTGGGGAGTTTTAAAAACCCTGCAGCGCAGGCCACAGTACAGCAAGATCTCTAGGGGTGCGACTCAGACAGCAATGAATTTTAAAGCCCCTGGCTGGTTCCGATGTGCAGACAAGGCTGAGAACCTTTCTGTGGAAGGAGAGTCCCAGAACAACAGCTCTGCGAGAGGCCTAAAGAACAACCAGACCAGGTCAAGGCAGGAGGTAAGAGAGGTATAGGAGGGCAAGAAACCCGGAATTGACAAGTTATCTGACAGGTACAAAAGGGAGAATTGTGTGGAAATTTGCATTCAGGGAAATTTTATAGAACAGTCACAAAAGCTGAAGGAAGGCAGTTGAATGTTCAAAGGAAACCAAGAAAATGCAAAAATAAAATGAAAATTCTATAAAGTTGAAAAAGAAAGAAAATGTAGAATATACTAACTGACTTGGCAGTGAGAAATATTTATGTAGTCATCATAAGGGAAAGCCTGACATACTGAATAATTATATTAGGAGAATGGGGAGAAGAAATTAATAAGATCTGAAACTGATTAATCAAGAGACAGCAATCTACACATTAACGGATATGGGGAGCCAAATAACAAAAGAAACAGCTCAGGGAGTGTGGTGGGATGAACACTGGCCCCGCAAAGATATCTGTGTCCCCATCCCTCAAAACTGTGAATGTTACCTTACATGGCCAAAGGGACTTTGCAGAAATTAAGGATCTCAAGATGGAAAGATAATCTGAATGATCCAGGTGGGCCCAACGCAATCATAAGTGTCCTTACAAGAGGAAGGCAAAGTCAAAGAGTGAGGAGAAGGTGATGGGAGGATGAAAGTAGAGATTAGAGGGATGCAGACATTGGCCAAGGAGCCAAAGAAAGCCAGCAGCCCAAAGAAGCTGGAAGAGGCAAGGAACAGATTCCCCCCAGAGCCTCCAGAAGGAACCAGCCCTGCTGACACCCCGATTTTAGCCCCTTCATACTCATTTCTGACTTGTGAAAGAATAAATTTGTGTTGTTTTAAGACACTAAGTTTGCAGTAATTTGTTACAGCAGCAGTGGGAAATTTTTTAAGGTATAATTGATATATAACATGATATTAGTTTCAGGTGTACAATGTAATGATCCAATATTTGTATATATTGCAAAATGATCACCCAGAAGTCTATTGACACCCATCACCTTACGTGGTTACAAAATAAGTCTATTGACACACATCACCTTACATGGTTACAAAAACTTTTTGCTTGTGATGAGAACTTTTAAGACCTAGTCTCTTAGTAACTTTCAAATATGCAATACAGTATTATTAACTATAGTCACCATGCAACACTACATCCCTAGGACTTATTTATTTCATAAGTGATGGGAAATTAATACAAGGAGTTTAAAGTATTGGAGTAGAAGTGGGATTGAAGGAGTGCAAGGGACAAATGCCTTTAAGTGTTGACTTTTTATAGAATATGTTCCACATGGATAAAATTTAAATAACCAAACTGCACTAAGTGTTCAGATTCGTGGAAGTGAGAGGATATGACCAAAAAGGCATGAGCTCTAGGGCAGAGCTCCTCAAACATTAATGTGCACACAAATCACCCACGGACCGTGTTGAAATGCAGGTCCTGACTCAGTCTGAAGTGGGGCCTGAGATTTGTCTACACTTCTGTAAGCTCCCAGGTGAAGCCCGTGCTGCTGGCCCATGGACCATATTTGAGCAGCAAAGACCTGGACTCTGGGACTGTAGAGTAGTGAGTTGGGAGGTAGGAGGGGGTGGGGCAGAGAGCAGAAAAATATTTGTGCTTAAGCTAAGGCTTTTTGAGTTTATCCTTGAAGATATAGGGGGATACAGGGCAGTGGAACAACAGGACGAGATTTTTTAAATTATTATTCTCTGTAGAAGAGGAGCAGGTAGGGGCAGCAAACCAGGGCCTGGAAACTATTTAGCGTGCAACTGGAAATATTCAATGATAATGACCGAGGAAGGTATGATGCTGCTGGTACTTCTGCCTACACACACACACACACACACACACACAATACAGAGAACCATATCAACTCATGTGTAAGTGAACACCATAAGTTATCTTCTGTTTGAAGTTTTCCTGTGTAACACCTAGAGGGATGTTCTTATAGTCTTTTCATTGACAAAACTATACAGTGTTTATTAAATTCCCATCTGCCCATGACAGATGCACATTTAAATAAGTGTAAGAAGAAAAATTTTCTCAGGAAAGTTGCATTATGCAGTAAAATTAAAATTATTTCTTAAAGAAACAGCTCATCACACCCCATATAGACAAGCATCACACAGCGTTCACGTTGTGTGCATTGACAATAGTGAAGACAAACTGCAGGTGTCTTAACTTCACAAAAGCACAGTGTACGTATTTGATTTTCCTGAAGCATTAGAAATGGTTCTGCAAAGCATTCTCAGAGGAATTCTATGTGTATAGATTGGACAGAATGTGAAGACTATAATATGGGTAAAAAGTCAGTTAAACATATTGAACACTAACAAATTATTAATAGTTCGGTGTCAAAATGGGAGCAGCTATTGAACCTAGTACAGAGGGAACCATCCTGGGTCCAACCCAGCTCCGTGTCTTCTATTAATAACTCTGAGGATCGTGTGACTAATGCACTAATCAATCCACAGAAAATGCAGCTCTGGGAGACATTACTAATGCTTTGGACGACAATATTAAAATTCAGGATGAATTTTAAATTGTTAAATTGAAATGAGCCAAAATCAATAGAGCAAGCACACATAGTTCTGCCAGGTGTTTCAAAACATAAGATTCAAGAAGCTCTCAAACAGAAATCAAGGCCATCCTGCAGCCAAACACCCAGTTGGTAAAGCTACCCAGCTCCTGTTTCCCTCCCCTCCCTCACAGCCACAGGGTATGTGGACAGAGGTCAAGGACTGTCCTTCACACATGCTTTAGCTCTACCACCTACAACTTCTCAACTCTTTCCTCCAGAGCAATGAGGGGAGAGAGAAGATGAATTTGATATGACTTTCAGTGTCCACACTGGCAAATTTAGACTTTGGACACCACATTAATAGCAGGGGGAAAAAAATAAGGTGCACTTAAAGGTTTGTAGGTAAGAGAATAATGACCTTTTTCCAAGGACTGTCATAATGTCTTCCTTATATTTCAAAACATGGTTACTAAAGAGAAAGGGAGGATGGGAGAAGATGATCAGATTTCTCTAACAACTTATCATTTACCTGCCCAAAGCTAAGACTTTTTAAGACTTAAACCCATATTTTCTTTCAGCTACAATCCCTTCCTGGAGTCATCTTTAATTACCCTTACTTTCTTGTCTCTATTAGCCAGTCAATAACCAAGCCCCGCCAATTTCACCTTCTAAGCAGTTCTCTGACCTGTGTGCTCATCTCCATCCTCTAATTCAAGTCTTCATCATTCCTCACCTAGACTAATACAGAAGCTCTCAGAGGCCTTTCTGCCTCTCTATTCCTTTAGATCCATCTTTCACATGGTTACCAGTGTGATCCAGCTAAAATACAAATCTGACCTTGAACCTTCCCTGTTTAAAATGTTTCAGTACCTTCAGTACTCACAGAATGAGGTTCAAGCTCTCCAATGTGGCATGCAAATTTCTGCAGTGGTGTTCTATCAGGAGCACCACAGCTCCCTGTGGGGGGCATTTCTGGATGTCTTAGTGTCTGGGGAATGCTACCAGCACTTTGTGCCCAGAGGTCAGGGGTACTAGACATCCTGCAGTACCCAAGATGGCCAACACAATGAACTATCCCACTCAAATTGCCGCTGTTGAGAAATCTCCTCCTGGCTCCTGCCTACTTCTCCAGCCCTCTAGCTCACTCTTCTAGACTGCAGCTACACAAAACTCTTCTTCCCTAACACAAGCTATGCTTTTTCTTGCCATTATACCTCAATCCCTGCTTCTGTGTCTTGATTGATTTCTGAAACCTGGAATGACTCTCTTCACTTGAGACTCATTTTCTAAGCTTAAGCTTTCTAATTGTTACATGCTTTACACATATAACTACAATTTTCTCCTTCACTTGACTAAGGTCCTTCCAGGCAGAAATTGTATGGACTCAGTAGGCCTTATGTAAACTTGAAAATCTGAAGGATGGATAGATGGATGGATAACTGGGTGAGATCAAAGGCTTTTCAGAGGCTGATGTTTAGTCCAGGTGCCCATAACGTAGGTAACAAGTATACAAGCATTGTTATACAGCTGAGGAATGAGCTGAGGTCCAAGTTTCAGATAAGGTCATCTGCCCTTAGTTTCAACATTCTGTGGTGTACAGGTCCCTCTATGCCCTTAATCTTTGTTTACCAAACAGCTCGTTAAAAATGCCACACAGCACCCTGCATGGCATTCCACTTACCCAAGTTGAAGACTGTGGGTCATGAAGAGCAATTTGACAGGCACTTCTCTGGGGCAATTCTGTGTCCAGTCTGCTCAAGAACTCAGCAGTTTTGCTAGCAGGAACACAAATAGGTGTTAGCACCTTCATAAAAATAGAAATATCATTATTTACTGTGCCTTTGGATACTAGCCTAGACTTATATTGGGTGATGACTGAAAGTGTCCTAGGTAGAACAAAAGGTTAGTTTGAGAACAGGGTAGAGTAGAAAAATCAAAAGAAAATGCTATTGCAAGACTGCATTCTTGGAGAACGTTAGTTCAAAAAATATAAAACTGAGTTTATGGAATGTGAACCCATGATTTCATTTTTTTCTACTTTGTGTACTTTGACATAGAGATAAATGCTCTCTCAGGTTCCACAGTATAGGGCCCTAATCTCCTATCCGAACATTTAAAGCTAGACACTCAGTCTTCACCATAGAGCTGTGGACATCAATCCCCCATGGCATCTCATTCCACACTGGTTTTACATCAGGCCCTTCACCCTCTGGGGGCTTTCTCCTAGTCATATCTCATTTCCCTCATAGCTTTTACTACCCTCAGGATACACAGACCCTCTAATCCAGTAACACTTAACCATTTATGTATCATGGACCCCTCTGGGATTCTGAAAGAAGAAACAGACCCTCTCCCTCCAAACACATAGATACCTCACATACACCCCCATTTGTATTTGATTTGTACCTCCCATGGGAGATAAGAAGTGTTGCTGGTTCTGGTCTGCATTTCTGACATCTCCTTTTAGCTCTGAAAGATTATGAAAGATGGGCCTAGAAATGTCCTCAGTTTTAATAAGTTCTTTGTTTTTCCCCTTAAAAGTCTGAACAGTCACCCCAATTTCTCCTCTCATCTATGTTAAGCACAGAACACAGGAATTGTTTCCTAGTTTAGTGACTGCCCCATTTTGCCTACTATTGATTAATTTCTCTACCTTTGTCCTTTCTCCATGTAATTTGTGGGATTTTTACCCCATTCCTCCACATTCACAACCAAATACGTCTTCAAGGCATGATTTATATTGGACCAGACCCTTTCAGTCTACTCCCCATCTGCTTCCTTCCTTCTGTTATCCCTCTGCTTCCTCCTAATATTTTAGGCCTAATGTGAAGATCCAATTCATCAAGCACTTAGGATGGGGGCATCAAAAGAAACACAAATGGCCTGGTAAAAATAAATGCTATCCAGTGGGGGGAAAATCAAAACAAGGAATTAGAAATTACATGGAGATGCCAACATCACTTCAAATAATTACTTAGGTAGAACATGGCATTTGAACAAGGCCAGAAGCTTGAGCTGGGAATGGAAGAGCTAAAAGTTAAGCAATGTACATAACCCTGAGAAACAGAAGGCTTCGGCGGTTGAGACAAGCAGCCGTTCCATTTGTCTAGGATTGCTTATCTCGCCCAGAATAGACAAGGAGACTAATGGAGTTGCAGAGTCTGGAAGCTGCCCCACTGTCTGGAGCTTTGTGAAGCCATCAGTCAAAAGTGTAAAAAGAAGAGAGTTGCCAGAAGTTTGGATGAGATTTCTGAATATCCTTAGTTGAGTACAGCCCATAGGAAAAAGCAATGAAAAAGAAACACCGTGGTAAGCCAGGAAGGAACTTCAGACCAAATTGACTGGCAGCCCTGCGTTGTCTTCTCTCTGTTGCTTCTTACTGGCCAATGCCAAGCATAAAGCCGGCTGGGTAGCTAACCACCAGCTATGGCCCTGGTGCCAATTATCACTGCCCCACTTGTGCCACAAGATTAAATCATAATGACAGGGCCACAGGACTGTCACAGGAATACGAGTTGGAGCCTTTGGAGAACGTGGATTACTCCCAAGAGACTAACTATACAACGAAGACAAGTTCCATGTTCACCAGGCGAACAGGTAGTTTTCTACTATTAGTACAGTGCCTAGTATATAATTTCCATATATCAGATGAATTGAAAGAGGATCCCTAGGTAATTATGGTCATCTTTAATAAAAATAAAATTTAGAACCTCCTTGTGAGGCAAAAGGAGAAGAATCTCCTGGTGAGGAAGTCCAACAAGACTAAGAACCCTAGACTCTGCCCATGAGTCACCTTCTCCTTGGGGTTTCTTGCTCTTTGTCACCATTGTGACTCTGCCACCTACTGGAGGGGGATGATCCTCTTCCGCTTTATCACTCTGACCCAAGATAAATACAGGACTCACTCTTTTGTTCTCCACAGAACAACTGATGATGGACTACCAATAACAGACTGGTTTGAAGATTTAGTCTATTCATGTCCAACTTATGATCTTCAAGGGTCCTTCCTGCTTATTCTCAGGGCAATTCCTACAGCTTATCCTGAAAGTTGTCTTCAGGATAAGCTCATCTCGACATAACTCAGTTGTAGCAGAGACTGCTAAATGTCCATCAAAATATATGTTCTCCTCTTTTAGTCACATAACTTGACTACATTTCCTAGACTTCCTTGCAGCTAAGGTTGACCTTGTGGCTGAGTCTTGACTAAAGGAATGTGGGAGGAATTGATGCACACCACTTCCAGGACTAACTAATTATAAACTTCCCACACATGCACCTCCACACATTTTTCTTCTTCTGGCTGGCTAGAATAGAGACAACCTTCAACACAAACTTGGAAGTCATGTATTGAAGGTGGTAGAACCTCCATTGGTTTTTGGTGCTTGAATATCTGAATGGAGGGAGCCTCGTCTCAAACCTGCCCACCCACGTCTTAAACGAGAAAAACAAAAAAACACAGTGCTCAAGCTATTATATATTTTTGAGGTCTGTTTATTATAGCAATTAGCCTACCCTAATAATACAACATATAGTAATATACGCAAGGGAATCATTTTTCAATTTAAATGATCAATTCCAAAAGTATATAAGAAGAGGCCAAGAAGAGTTGAGGAAGTGTAGAAAAAAAAAAATTCTCAAGGATTCATCTAGGCATCTTAGCTATTTCAGAACCTTAGTCGGGGGAGTGGAAGGTGGGAAAGGGGAAGAGCCTATTCATCCTTGAGGCGTCTTCCTGTCAGGTCTAGGAGCGCCCTGGGCCAGAGTACAAAAACCAGTACTCATTTATCCCATTACTACTAGGATCTTGTCTAGGTTGAGTATGGATTGGGGTTTGAGCAAAGAAATTGCACTGGGAGACAGTCAGGGAAGGAAAGGGATGTGGCTTTTTATATTGTGATATGTCAGAATATTTGAAATCTCTTAATGGAGATTCATCAATAAAACAAAATTTGACTTTTTGTAAGGACAAAAAATATAGGAAAGTCTACAGAGAGTGAAATGTGTGCCTGTTGGCTCATTTGAATAGCCCAGAATTGCATAAGATAATTCCTATACAGATTTTCTTTTCTTGTTTTGATAGTTAGAAATGATGACTAGGGATTTTAATGTTCAAGAAAGAATCATTTACAAAAATTTAACTTAGACCTTCAGGAGCTTGAGTCAGGCGCCTGCCCCTCACCACACCCCAGGGCTACAAGGGCTAAGTACCTCTCTCTACCTGCTTACCTACGTCTCCCAACTCAGAACCACGGCAAGACACACAAGGACATTCTCACAAAGATGTTAAACCACTGATTTTAAAGTTAAACAGTCATAATTACAAAGATACCCTCACCAAAAAACTACCAGTTACAAACCTCTGCCTGGTACTTCTTGTCTTGTGGAGAATAGATAGGGCAGTTTCACCTTCTCTCATCTCCTGTTAGCTAACAGACAAACTCAAATGACTGCGGGGTGCAGACGGCTCATGCAAATGAGTGAAGTGGGCCTAGAGTGAGGGCAACAGGAGCTCAGACCCACGGATAAATGACAACTGCCGCTCAGGTCAGTGTGGAAGACACCGGGGAGAGGAGGGAGGATTTTGACAAACTAGACAGTGATCTTCTGTGTAAAGGGGTCAGCTGCCACTTCGCTCCAGGCCATCGCTGCCCCATGGGGACACAGGCTAGCACTGCCAGGTGTCCTAGTTTTTATAGGTAGACCAAAATGCTGAACATTTTTAATGTGAAGTAGCTTGGCAACTAATTCATAAGTTTTTGAAACACTGTGGGCCAACACTGTGTTACCAAAAAAACTCTGGAGGTCAAATTTGGCCCCAATGGCCACCTGATTGTGACCAGATGTTTTTGAATTTGTTTCCACCTGTTCAGGCTTGTCGATTTCTTCATTATATATCCTTGATATTCATAAATAGAAAAAATAAGCAAGGTTGGATTCTCATATTGAAGCGGCGGTTCAGAAATAGCTGCTATGCTGGCTTGAGCACATTAGCTAACAGTAGGAGAGAGAGGGTATCTCGTATTTCACATTTATACCAAACACTAAAGTGTATTATTTTGATAGTTTATAACTATATATATTTGGGTTGATATATGAAAAACAACAGTGAGACACTATAAATAAGATGAAAAGACAACCCACAGAAAATATTTATAACCAATGAAAAAATAATAAAAGGATTAGTGTGAAAAATTTACAAAGAACTCCAATAAATCAATTAGAAAAAGACAACCCGGTAGAAAAGTGGGCAAAAAGGTAGAAACATGCATTTCACAGAGGAAGAAACCCAATTAATAATAATGAAAAGAATAACAAAAACAATAGCTTAGGACTTATATAACGCTTATTATGCATCAAGCCCTGCTGTAACCAGATATACCACATATGTTAACGTCATGACAACATTGTGACAGTAATATTATAACCTCTAACTTATAGAAATAACTTGCTCAAGATCCTACAGCTAGTAAATGTCAAAACCAGGATCAGACCCTGACAGCCTGGCTCCAGAGTCCATGCTTTCAGCCACTACATTTGACTGCTCATCACAAGCAATATCCATAAGAAAAGATGCTCAATCTTACTAATAATTGGGGACATGCAAATTAAAACAAGATACCATAGAACAGCAATTTGCAAAATGCCAATAGGAAGACCTGAGTGGGCAGGCACATGAGAATCATCTGCGGTGCTTCTTAGAAAAGGCTGAACTCAAGACTTGGGCTTTCTAACTGAGCGTGTCTGATGTGAGATCTGCGAATCAGTGTCTCTCAAA